GATTTAATCAGAAATTAGGAAATCTAAATATAAACTTGAAAATAAAAAGTAGTGTGTGCTATATTTAACTACTCTTAAGGCCTGAAATATGAAAGTAAGTCAATGAATATTGCTACAAAATCCTATAAACGTTTACTTAACAAAATTGAAATGTGAAGTTATTGTTTCTCAACATATCCTCCATTTAGGTCTATAATACTGCTGAAGATCAAGGTTCCAACTCATTACCCCTTCCCTGAAGAACTGACAACTTTGGCATCCTTAAGAGACTTGAATAGTGTTTCTTTTAAAAGTTCTTTGAGTTTGGGAAGTAAAAAATCTGAAGGGGTAAGATGAGTGAAATGGGATAAGGTCTCCCAACACAGTTCACATAGTACTTGCTACCTGCGAAGAAGTTTTCCATCCCTCAGCACATCTTTCCTGGTCTTTTCTCACCAACGCAGTTATCAGTCTTTTAAATCTCCATAATTAGACCCCAATGATCATCCTGTGTTCTTTAAGAAAATCTTTCAAGATTATCCTTTTTGGCAATTTTACCCCAAAATAGTCAGACCTAAGCTTTCTGAGCTGACCTCTTTGCCTTGAGTTCCACTTGTCCGGTAGATCCCATCAAGAGTCACTCTTTTTATTGGACTTTTCATTTTGGAAGCACCATAATGAGCCTTGGAGCCCCAGTGGGGCCATCAGATAAGTAAGTGTTGGATGGCCAAACACAAGGTCCAGTGTTCAAACCCACCAGTTGCTCAGAGGGAGAAAGATGAGGCTGTTGGCTATGGTGGAAAATTATGTCCTCAGAAGCCCTGTATAGGGTAGAAATCAGGAAAGATGTGGGTCAGTGTTGTATCCTCTCATACTACTCAATCTGTATACCAAGAAAAATAATCAGAAAATCTGTTTTATATGAAGAATGTGGCATCAGGATTGGAGGAAGGCTACCAACAACTTGTGATACGCAGATGATACCACCTTGCTGAAAGTGAGGAGGACTTGAAGCACTTGCTGATGAAGATCAAGGATTGTAGCCTTAAGCAGGGATTACAACTCAATGTCAAGAAGACCAAAATTCTCACAATTGGACCAATCAATAGGTAACATCAATAGAGAAAAGATCAAAGTTGTCAAGGATTTCATCTTGTTTGGATCCACAATTGATGCTGATGGAAGCAGCAGTCAAGAGATTAACATATGTATTGTATTGGGTAAATCTGCTGCCCAAGACCTCTTTAGAATGTTGCTAAGCAGGGAGGTTACTTTGAGGACTAAGGTGCCCCCTGCCCAAGCCATGGTATTTTCAATTGCCTCATGTACATTTGAAAGATGGGCATTAAATAAGGAAGACAGAAGAAGAATCCACACATTTGAATTGTGGTGAAGAATACTGGAAGTACTATGGACTGCTGAAAGAACAAACAAACATGTCTTGAAAGAAGTACAGTCAGAGTGCCCCTTAGGCAAGGATGGCAAGATTTTGTCTTTCATTCTTTGGATACATCGTCAGGAGAGACAAGTCCCTGGAGAAAGACCTCATGCTTGGTTACGTAGAGGAGCAGAGAAAAAGAGGACAACCCTCAGTGAGCTGGATTGACACGTGGCTGCAACCATGAGCTCAGGCCTAGGAACATTGGTCATGATGGCACAGGACCAGGCCGTGTTTCACCCTGTTGTACATGGGGGTGTTGAAACTAACTCAAGTGCACCTAATAACAACATCAGTTGGAATCAGTTTGGTGGCTGAGTTAGTTAATTGTGCCAACCTGGTCGATAATCACATGTGGGGCTAATTGAAAGGCAGAGGGATAAATGGGTGGTAAGGCTCGCCTTTTTTGTTTTTGGGTTTTTTTGTTTTTTGTTGTTTGCCCAGGGTGCAGCTGCCTTAGCAGTTCCCTGCTTCAGCTTGTAAGATTGACTTCCTACAACACATCCCCAAGGAGAAGCCACATGGACCTATCCCGATGCAGCCCTGGGTGCTGGAGCAGCTGTGTGGAGACCCCTGCTAGTGCTGAGATGCTTGTTCGTTCACTGACTCAGCTTTCCTCCTGCAGTCGGCATCATTGCCTCTGTTTTGTGAGGTGGAGGACTTTGTGGACTGGTGTTGGGTTAATGGGTTAATGTTGGACTTGTGGGCTTGGGCAGCATTGGGTTGGGATGTTTTCGTGATGCACATTTTCTTTACATAAAACTCTCTCTTATACATGAGTTGCTGTGGATTTATTTCTCCAAAGTACCCAGACTAATACAGTGGCAGTGGATCTAATGAGACTTAGAAAAGTGTATTATTGGGAGAACTTGTGCAGACATCCACTGTTGTAGAGATCCATTAAAACAGTTTTGTTTGTGATAAATCCACATGTATGAGCTGGAAACCTAGTCCTACTATATTTAATTTACTTACCCCTCTATAACCTTTTCTTACCAGTTTGCAGTGGATTTCTTCTTTGATATCAGTTGTCATTGTTCTGGCAAGTTTCTTATCCTGGCATTTAAAAGGAAAACTTCCAAGGTTATAAAGAAATCTATTTTAAAGATATTCTTTCTAATTGTAATAAGTTAATAGCAATACAGAAATGTGGAAAATAAAGTATCTTCTACCACTGGGATATGGCGTTCTCTCTCTTCTAGTCATATGGGATCATAATAAATACATAGTATTTGCATATGCTATTTTATATAAAAAGAATATACTGTCTCTGGTATTCTATAGTTTGTTTTTTATGTTAATATAATACAAGTGACTTCAAAAAGTTCATGGAAAAATGGAGTAAAAAGACAGTGGAACTTTTCCATGAACCTTTTGAAGCCCCTTGTGTGTATATTTTGGGTGTTGGTAGTACTGTGGGTTAAGCATAGGCTGCTAAGCAGAGTCCACAGTTCAAACCTACCATTTACTCTACAGAAGAAAAACTGCCTGCTCCCGTAAAGATTCAGTCTTGCAAACCCACAGGAGAAGTTCTACTCTGTCCTGTAGGGTCACTCTGAGTTGGAACCAACTTGCTGGCAGTGGGTTTGTGTAGATGAGTGTGTATTTAATTAAAACTTCACTTGTACAGTGTGTGTAACACAGGGTTCTTGAGAGAAACAAAACCAGCACACATGATTTTAGATAGATAGATAGAGAGATAGATAGATGATAGATAGATAGATAGATAGAGAGATAGATAGATAGATAGATAGATAGATAGATAGATTTGTACAAGGAGAAGGAATATAACAGCTAATTAGTCCACACAGAAGTACATAGAGCTCACAGTTCAACTCGCTTTTGAGGAACAGTGAATATACTAGAAATCCTTTAACTCATGTGGGCTGCTGGGTCCAAGGTCAAGGAACAGACAGCACAGTCTTCCCTCAGGCAAGACAGGCAGAGTGACTGCAGGCAGCAGACAGCAGGGTGGGTCAGCAACAGTCCGGAGCACGGGAGCTTAGCAAAGCAAGCCCAATGTGACCTCGAACTCAAGCAGTTTGCATGGCAACAGAACCCAGCAGCCTCAGTCTCAAGTGACATATGCACCACACCGTCTCAAAGGAGCCTCAAGCTCTAACAACATGATCCATGGGTTGCCTTGGCCCACTGGTAGTGTAGCACGTAGGTGGAGGCAGAGAACTAGTTAAAGCAGCAGCACACTGGTCTGATTACCAGGGAACGAGAGAGAAGGGATGCTATCTGTCTTCATTTATCTCAGTCACCCTCTAATCAAGCTGTGACCTGATCATTCTCCATGCACATGTACCTATTGGCTTAGTTGGCACAAGAAACCTAATTCACACAGTGGAACCTGTAAGAGCAGGACCTTAGCGGGACTGTTTTGGTTTTCCAGGTCTCACACATTCTCTACCTTTCCAGTCCTATCACTTTTCTATTGCTCCTCTTAGTGTGAAATATGAGTATTTTGTTTTCCTTTAGTAGCAGATTTCCACCTTGCACCAATTTTTACTTTAATGGTATTTCCTGTACAATTAAAGCTTCCTGACCATAGACACACCTTCACCCTATCCTAGCCTCACATATATCCCAGAAGTGATCTTTTATTTCAGTTTTCTAGTGGCTAGTGTTGACATTCTCCAAATATCTTAAGGATTTCAGAGTTCCCCTAATTCACCCATCCATTGTACCACTTAATTTCTCCCTTTCTTACTACAGCTGGGATTCTCAGCAGGAGGGCCAAGAGTAAGCTGTATCCCCGTTTTCCACACCCCTAGAAAAAGATATCAGAATCCTTGGGAAGGTCTTTTTCAAAATACTGTACACAATCCCTTTTTCGGACCTCCGTATAGAACACATTTACATGCGAGAATATCACTGCATATAATTACAGATGTAGCTTGCTGGGGGCTGTTGTGTACCTAAGAGTCAGAATCAAGAAAGCAGTTAATGCTCAGCTATGAACTGAAAGTTGGTTGGTCCAGATGTACCCAGAGACATCTGGAAGACAGACCTGGTGTTCTGCTTTTGAAAGATCCCAGCCTTGACAACCCTGTGGTGCAGTTCGACTCTAAACTAGATTGGGTCGCCAGGAGTCACACTCAACTTGACAACAACTGGCTGGTCCTTGTGTCCGTAGAGTGAAAGTTGCGGGACAAAAGTTAAGAGGACTTATGAAGGCCAAGATACTTAAGTGACCTTTCTCTTTTTCAGGCTGGGAGGCATTAGTCTCTACATTTTCTTTTCCTTCCATTGTGGGGGCAGGGGGGTGGCAGGTAATAACTGGGAATGGGTGGGCTCACTTTTGAGATAGTGCCTGCATTTCAAGATAAGGGCAAGTCAGTTCATTTGAATAGTAGAAATTCTAAAAACTAACTCTGTGAATGCCTAACCAAATCGGTCATCTTTTTCATACCCTTAAACCTGGTTGGACACTGAGAGGTCTGTGATTCCCTTTGAAGAGCCGCCTTGATACAGTGAAGTCTAAAACTGACAAGGTCAATGGCAGCTTGTCTAAAGAGCTGGCTCTACTGTAATTGAAGTTTGCTCTACAGCATCTGAAGGAAATGAAAAGGCTAAGATGGGAAACACTAATGGGGTTCTCTGCCTGTTTTATCTGCAGACAGCAGCTGAATATGTAAAATCCCGACTCCCAGAGGCCCTGAAGCAGCATCTTCAGGACTATGAGAAAGACAAAGAAAATAGTGTGCTGTCCTACCAAACCATTCTTGAGCAGCAGATCCTATCGATTGACCGAGAGATGCTGGAAAAATTGACTGTATCCTATGATGAAGCAGGTATGTTTATCTTGCATACAATTGCTAATTATTTTTCCTCCCTGCAGAAATTTCTCTTTAGATTTTGATAAAATGTAGGGCTTTCTCTCAGGTACTAGTTTAAAGGCAAATTGGTTTCCAAGTTTTATAAACTGGGTTAATAGTACATTTATTTTCAATAATTTTAATATCAAAACTCATCGGGCAATTTCTAGAGTAGGCTCTTAAATATCAAATCCCCGCCACCTTTTTTTTTAAGATCTTGTTGTCTATTTATGTAGCCAGTCTGTCATTTATTTCCTTCTGCAGCTGAGTCAAATATTTTTACTCCAGAAAGCAGTGAACTATGCCTCCCGGCCCAGTCTGGTCAGTTTCTT